ACGCCCACTCAAACGGGTGTGTTCTGCGGTTGAGGCAAATACGGACGTGTTTTTGTTCAACACGGCCGTGTTCGAATCGATCAGCGTTGTGGCTGAGCTGTAAGATTGAACACGGTCGTGTTCGGTCCGACTCAGCTGCCAAATCAGCTTCCGTAACTGCCATGTCAGCACAATCCGTTAAAATTTGAACGCTGGGACTAAAAATGATATGTTTTGTTTAGTGTGAAACTAGTTTTGATAAATATTTTTGAATGAGACCAAAAATGAAAAAAAAATGATTTTAAAGGGATTATAATTGATTTTTGCTCTTTATAATAGAACATATCATACAAATATTATGTACATATGTAGAGTCATAATAAATTTGGCAACAAAATTAATCTCGTCAATAAATAAAGTATTGTAATTAATATCTTTCGGAAAAAAAAATAATATAATTTTTTTGAGGGAATAAAAAAATTTAATCTAATCTCTTCAAAACTGAAAAATAGCATACAATGAAAAGAAATGTCATAAACTCTTCATGTCAGTCAATCGGAATGCGCCATGTGGCCTCGTCCGGAAAGAAAACCAATGCTACATCTCCCATAGAGGTTATGGCGAAGTCATTCAACACACCGAAATTCATTCGAAGACTTGAACAATTACAAGTCTCTGGATTTTTAATGCAATGTTTTTGTGTCATTCGAAGTGTTTTTTTGTCGAAATGTCATTGATTTTAACAAATAATCCAATATTAGTCGATAATTTGATGAAGTTAACATTTTTCGTCATATGTCTAAGCCTTTGGGAAAATCAAAGCCACAAAATCTGCTGCAAAAGATGTCAAAATCAAGGAAAAGACTCAAGTTCATCACAAAGCTTCAAAGTGTCCGCCCCGTTCTTCATCAAATCTTCAAACCCATCCCTCTTCGATCCGAAAATAAAAAAGATACGTCGCTAAAAGCATTACATACCACCAAATTCTACTCTGCAAAGATCAAATAATCAAATATGCCAAAGAAAATCTTCAAACCAAAGATCAAATTTGCCTAAATCCTTCGAAATAGTTCGAACAAAGATCAATTCATTTTAAACCATCTGAAGCCAACTCAAATATCAAGCATTTATTCAAAGCCTCTAGACTCATTCAAATTCGAGTTGAAAGACAACTCGATCCACAAGAAAAATCAGAGGGTTCAAATTGAGAATATAATCCGCTTAAATTCAATTTGAATTGAATATAATTTATACGAATATTCGTATTTATAAAGATAATATAATTAACTGTAAACCAACAATTCCTTTAATGCAAAACACAGGCATTTAGGACTCCAGCAACATCCAACAGTGTAAGAAAAAAATAATATATTATATTAATAATATAACTAATTTTAGTATAAAACCAATAATTTTATAATAAAATATTTTATAAATCCGTAAATTTAGCACTAGATTGTAGCACTAGATTGTTTTACTTATATATTTTAGTAAAAATGCATAAAATTTATTGCGTGAAATTTCTTTAACGTAAAATTTTTCATTCAAAAGTGATATTAATTGTAAAGTTTTTCATTCAAAAGTGATATTAATTGTATATATGAACCAAATAATGTAAATTTTATACAAATAAAAGAAATAAATAATTTTAAATAATTTATTTAATAAAATAAATAAATGAATGAATAATTGATTATATTTTTATTTTAATTTTTTTAAAGACAAATTGTTATGTGATTTTTACAAAAAATTATAAAAATAAACGATTCATCAATTATTTATTTATTTATATTATTCAAAAAAAAATTTTAAAATATTTTACGTCTGTAGAATCAAACATCAATTTTGAAGGAGAGAATATTTTGTACAAACTTTAAATTAAAAAAAAAAAAATACTAAGACAACCTCAAGATAAGTTAAATATAAAAAATGTTAATAATATGGCTCAAAGTAGTGAACACTATGAGTATGATTATAATATATATATATTATACTCCCTCGTTCCTTAACAATTTATCCATTTTTTCATTTTGATCCGTATTATAACAAAGTATTCATTTCATTTTTTTTAGTAATTATATTATCCGCCTAAGATTACAAATAACCTTTCCAATTTACAATATATTATACAAATTTCATTACCTTTATATCATACAATATTAATACGGTTAATTTAGTTTTTTTACCTTTATTTCTACTTTATCCCAATATAATACTAATATTTCTAAAACTCCATGCAAAAAGTAAATGAATATATAGATATAGGATGGAGGGAGTATATTTTAATTTTAATATTTTTATAAGAAAAATAATTATTAAATATAGTAATTTAAGAAAATATATAAAAATATTTAAATATAAACTTAAAAATTACATAACAAAAAAATAAACTTTTTTTTTTTTTTTATATTTTATTTAAATTACTTTAAAAATATTCAAAATATTTCAATGCCATGTAAAAATGGGCTAGACAGTCCATTCCAGCATGGCCCAATTAATTTGATGAAAAGCCCAAAACCTAAAAATGCCTTTCTTTAAATAAAGTGGGAATAATCAGTATATAAACCATGCCTTAATATATGTATTGTCAAGTGAATTTTTAATCCTGACCTTGAAATCATAAATTCGCAACTAATGCTATTATAAAATACCCATCATTTTCAATCCCAAAACTAAAATAAATAAATAATAATAAAATTATCCAACAATTATATACGCCCTTTGCCTCTAATATAATTTTTTTTTTTTAAAAATATCATTATGTTAGTATTATAAAACATAATAAAATATTTTTGTAATTTTTTTTAATTATACTATATTTTAATATAATAATTAATATTAAAAAAATACGCAAATAAAACCTTTTAGAGCTCGACGGAAATAGTATTTATTATAGACAAACAAAATTGAAATTGAAACATTAGGTCATCCGCATCGATGAAACATAACATGGACTTCTTCCATCTTTCTCTTCTCTTCCACGGTCATATTCTCTCTGCCACGTCATCGGAGAAATTCATTTCATTTTATACCTTCATCAAATAAACTCATTTACACAAATTTTAATTTCTCTTTTCTCCATATTATTAAATTATATATTTTTCAAATAATTTAAATAATAATAATTTTTATCTAATATACATATTTGTTAGTATTTATTTATTTAATAATTTAATTTATAAACAATAACAAATATTTATTATTAATGTGATGTGAAAATTTAATTTTATGATACAATTTTTTGTATTTATGTCTTTTTAAAAAATAAAATAAATTATATTGATTTGATATTGCAATGATAAATATAAAAATTGTGTAATAAATTAATACAATAAATTAATTAAAATTTTATTTAAAAAAATATATTAATATTGGTATCATTTTGTAAAGAATAAAATTTTATAAAATATAAAAATATAAAAATTATTAATAAATATTTATATAATATATAAAAGATAACTAAAAAAAATATTTTTTTTTTGCTACATGGCAAAAATACACTTATGTCACTGTTTAAGTGTTTAAGGGCATCCACATCGAGAAACCCCCACGTCATTGAGGGAAGAGAGCACCGGGAAGAGAGCACCAATGCTCTGCCCAGCAATTCAGCAGCGTTGCTGTATTTAATATTGCCACGTGTCCCAATTAAATTGGGATACGTGGCAAAAAAATTTTAATATTTTTTTAATTAATTTTTTATATAGTTTATTTAAATTATATATATTAATATTTTTTATATTACATAAATTTTTATTTTTTTATAAAATAAAATTAATATTGAATATATATTTTTATTTATTTAAATATAATTAATTTATTATAATAAATATTGACATATTTTTATTTAATAATATTTTTAATTAAATATAATCAATTAATAATATTATTTTAAAAAATTAAAATATGAACATAATAATAATAATCATATTAATAAATATTTGTTATAACATATAAATTAAATTATTAAATAAATATTAAGAAATATGTATATTAAATAAAATTATTATTTTTTAAATTATTTTAAAAATAATATAGAAAAAAAATTAAAATTTGTGTAAATAGATTTCTTTGATGCAGATATAAAATGATATAAATTTTTACAGCGACGTGGAGAAGAAGAGAGATGAAAGAAACCCGAGTTTCATTGATGCAGATGGCCTAGTGAAGTTACTGCAGAATCAACCTCCGCTACACCTGGCACTAAAAATAATTGATTTTTAATTTTTTTTTTAAAGAGAAATCCACCAATGTGGATGCTTAGGCCATCTCTAATCCTGACTCTCAGTATTTTTATTTCAATCATAATTCTAAGTATTTAATTTTTTTATTATTTTAAATAACTTTTTATATTTATAATTGAAAATATTTTTTTAAAAAAATTAGAAAAATAAAAAATAAATTTAAAAATAAAAATAAAATAAAATAATTTCAAAAAAAAAAAAAAAAAAAGCATTGGCGTTGCTAAAATAAATTTGAAGGCGGCTTCGGATGCTCTCATAATCAAATTAATTTTCACCAACCCAGCGCCAGATGCTCTTATAATCAAATTAATCTTCACATTTCCATACTAATGAATGTGATTTGATTATGCATCTAATGTAAAGAATCAAGATGTGTCGGTGAGGTGGCATTGGATTTTAGACAAAAAAACGAAGAGTCCCTATACGTGTTGTTCAAACTCTACATGCGATAAATCTCACCAATTCTTCAGACACGATTATTAAATATTATGCATAAAGATGAGAGATATGTATTTGTTCCCAATGGCAATGTCCAGCTTTTGTTTTCGAATTTGACCTACTGTGGACTGGACCCACCCGACAAGAGTCTGTCCGACTCCACGTGCCGCCGGTTATCATTACAACCACCGACACACCCAAAGATACACACATATTATCAATAATCAAAAATAGGGTTTCCAAAATCAAATGTATGTTTAGCGACTTGGAGATTAAATTAATGGAGACAACATAATTATTATGAACATGTAATGTAATTTATGTATAGAAGAGATGACCAAGGAAGAATTCAAGACAAAATGATAAAATACTGACTGGTAGAGCAATAATCACTCGAATTCAATCTGTCGCAGTCTCTCATCAATGAAATATGTCGGAAACGCAGCAGATAAATTAAAATAAAATCAGAGAGAAAAGAGATGAACGGCGGCGATTCTGTGGTGAGAAAACCTGACTCGGAAAAGGACAAAATTAATTTAAAATATATAAATAAAAAGGAAACAAAAAAGTGCAGCAAACCTGAGGCGAAACGACGGTTACGACAACAGCACGGAGGCCAGCACGGTAACCGACGCTGCTGCGACCACCGTTTTCATCACGGTTGGAGATTTCAGAGCGCCGCCGGCGTTGTTGGAGGTGCTGTTCTGTGAATCTGCGGTTGGACCATCTGACGGGGAAGCGGCCGGCGATTTCGACGGCGGCGCCGGGGGAGAATGGAAAGGAGATGGAGCTGCGGCGGATTTAGGAGATGGAGCCTCCGCTACAGGAGCCGGAGATGGCGAGGTTTCCGGTGCAGGACCTGGCGCCGGCGCCGGAGCCTTGCCAAAGAGCTCGACAGGGAGGAGCATATTGTCGACGGTGAAAATGCAGAGCGGAGTGGAGTCGAGCACGGTCGACGCAACTCTCGAGGTTCCGACTCCGGTGACCAGAGAAACGGAGTCACCGGCGGTCTTCACGCTGAGGTCGTACTTCCCGGCGCCGTTGGTTGCGAGAGTCTCGATTCTACCAGTACTCTGTTTCAAAGTTCCGATCGGAGAGTAACTGGCGAGCGCGTGGTACCGCAGGACGGAATCCACCTCGGCACTGGTGAGCTTGCTCAGATCCGGCGCGCCGGTGGCCTTAAACGCCTCGTCGTTCGGCGCGAAAATGGTGAGGCCTTTGTCCAATGCGGACTGGTAGATCTTCAAAACACCAGTCGATACAATCAGCGAAGCAAAGGTTTTACACCCTGCCTTCTCCAGCAAGGCTGTTATATTGACGCTAGACGCCGACGGCGCCGGTGCCGTCAGAACCGCGCTCGGAGCAATCGCCTTACTGATCTCAATAACGGACAAATTGTACGGAACTTGCACCACCGACTTAGCGAACGTCGAGTCGAGAGACGAACCAGGAACGCCGGATCCGAATCCAACCTTGCCGCCTTTCAAATCCGTAATATTCACGAATCCAAGGTTACCGCCGGCGTTCCCCGTCGTCTGGTACAGCGTGGTTGTGAGAACCGAACCTTCGGCGATTTTGTGGAGCTTCGGCGCGTCGAAGTAGTCGAGGAGCACATGCAATGCGAGGATGTTTTTCACCACACTGAGAGGATATTTTCCGGTGTACGCTGACAGACCTCCGTTAGGAATGACGCAAACCGTCACCGGCTCGCGGCTGTTGATATCGTCGGCGAGCTTAGTTTTCGTGAGCAAGTCATTGAACTCGCTATACTCAGGATGAGCGGAGAGAAGATCGGTAATATTGAATCCTTCGACGGCGACGGCGAGAATCGCAACGGCGGCGAGGCAGAGCGTTATGGAGGAGGCGGCCATGGCGGAAAACGTGGCGTTGCCGTGCAAAAGGTGAAAGGAAGAGAGTGATATTTCCAATAGACAAAGGCGGTATTGTAATTATACCACTGGCACTCTACTCTCGTGTGCGCCACGTCAGCATTCTAGACGTTTCCCCTGGTCACGCCTAACGTTCGCCGAATAGAAAAAAATATATATATATATATATATATATGTAAAAGTAATAATAATAAGAATAATAAGAATTGGCGTTATTTAGAAATTAGTTATATTTATTTTTGGGGTATTTATAAAATAATTTTATTTTATGTAGATTTTTAGTAAAGTGTTTGGTCCCCATAACTGCACAATAATGTAATGAATGGCAATGGCCATGCTAACTCTAGTTTAAAAGTAACCAGGGTTAAGAGTGTGGTTATGTTAAAAAAGGGCAGTTACGGTTGGGACGGGAGCATGTGATAGTTAATTTTTTGGGGCACAGCTGCAACTTGCGAAGTCTGATTTGTGAAATGACTTTATAGCCCTTCCAAGGGTGTGTATATATTTTTAATGTAATTTTAAGATTTTGTTTAATGAAATTATTCCCAAAAAATAGTATTTTTATATAAAATATAGAGAATTTTATAAATAATATAAAAATAATAAGTATATATAATATATATATTTTTTGAAAATGTATTTTTTTGAGAATTATGAAAAAATACAATTGAGTTTATTTGTTTTGTATTTTAATTTGAAAAAAAATTTTAGGTGAAATATAAAAAATTATATAAATAATATAAAAATAATAAATATGTATAATATATTAATTCGTATTATAAAATATGTTGATTTCTTAAAAAACAAAACACAATTATTAAATACAAATATGAAGTTGCTTGTTTAATATTTTAATTTTTTAAAATATAATATTTAATATATATTTTTATTTAAAATATCGCATTTTAAATATATAGTAAAGAACTCAATTAAACAATCTATAATTATTCAGATTGTTCATATATTTAATTTTTAATTAAAATTATACCAATATCGTCGTTATGTATAAAATATACTATATTTGTTCAAAACAATTAACATATTTGGTTAGTGACACAGTATTTAAAAGCTTTAGTAAATTATAATATTATTTTATTAATTTTTTATATTAATGGTGTTTTTGAAATTTAAAAATAAATCAATATATGTAATTAAAAAAACTAAAATATATTAATATATATCTAAAAAAATATATGTAATATGAATATTATTTCACAAAGAATAAAATTTTATATAATACAAATAAATAAATATATATTTATTAATTTATGATTAATATAAATTAAATTTATAAAAAAATATAAAATTTTAAATATAGATAAATAAAAACATGTATTTAATGGAGAAGAGGATAAAAAAAAAAAGTAGATATTACATATAATAAGAATTTAGTAATATTAATTAATTTATATTTATTAAATATATTTAAAATAAATAAATTTATTATACTAAAAATTATGTGGAGTGTTAACAAATGTGTAATAAAATATATTGAATGATAGTGACGGTAATTATTTTACAATATACTATAGATAAAGAGACACTGAATTCCATATGCCCGTACTTTTAACATTTACAACAATGGGAAATATTTGATGACTCCTTTGCATCACAAGACTAAAAGAATGTGCGTGTAGTGATGCTTTGTCGCTTTTTTTTTGTTTTTAAAGGCATAACATGGCTCTCTTAAGATACATTTCCAACAAATTTTTTATACTAATATTTTTAATAGGTAAAATTGTTTATACCTCTTATATAGTTTCAAAATTCAGCGTAAAATCTCTCTATACATTAAAAATTGCATGGTACTTTCCTTATACTTTAAAAAAACGTTACATGAAACTCCACCACCATGAAACTTTCCTCGTGTGATAAGAAAATGATTTCATATCTATATATTTTGCATGGCATTGGGGTTTTATGGAATATTTTTGAAAATATAAGTGAGCGTCATGCAATTTTTTAAAGTAAAATGAGAATTTATGCTGAGTTTCGAAACCACAAAGTGGTTTCATGCAACATTTTTTAAAGTATAGGGGGGCATCATGCAATTTTTAAAGTCCAGGGGGAATTCACGCTGAGTTTCGAAACCACAAGGGAGTTATGGACAATTTTGCCTTTTTAATATTCCTTCCGTCCTATTGAAAGGTTATCAATTTTTATTTTCGTTCGTTCCAAAACAAAGTTATCATTTCCTAATTTAGTAATTGTACTGTATACTTAATATAATAAATATTCTTTCAACTTACAATATATTATACAAATGTCATTACTTTTATATTATACTATACTAATGTGAGTATTTTTTTTCTTTTTTACTGCAATCCAATATAATACTAATATTAAAAAATCTACTTGTAAAAGGTAAACACTATCCTTCCGATAAGAACAAAGGGAGTATATATTTTTTTATAACAAAGGGAGTATATATTTTTTTATAAAATATATTGTTTCATAAAATATTATATTAAATACTTTTTTTAAAAAAATTTTAATTTTTTTTTTAAAAGATCATCACTCCAGAGTATCTATCCAAATGAAGTGTAATATAATGATTAATTTAATTGAATGCCCCACACATTGTGCTTCATTCTTAAAAAAATAAACTAATACTAATATTAATACTCTATTTTTTCTTATATTAATAAAATATAGATAAAGTACACTCCTAAGTAAAATTTAAAATTATTATAACATGGGACTTAGGATAATTCAACAATCAGAAGAAAATCATAAGGCTATGTGTCTTGGGAGGTTTTGTTGAAATTAAGCTCATTTTCCAAAATCCAAACCGTAACCCAAACTCTATAATTCGATCCGGTTTTATAATCTCGATTCGATCGACGCCCTTATATTTCCTCTTTTTTCTTTTCGATTTAGGTAAGAGAATAAAAAATTCGGTTTTCGGTTCTTTCTGGTTTTCATCTTTCTTCTTTGCTATTCTTTTTGGTAGGTTTTGAGGGTTTTTCTTATTTCGCCAAAATTACAATCGTTCTCGATCATTTGCGTATTTTTTGTGAGTTTTTTTTAGGAAATCGGTCCATTAGAGTTAGGGTTCATAGATTGAGTCTATAGGTTTGAGGTTTTGTTTGAAGGCAGTTGAGATTAATCTCTAAGTGAGTTATTAGATTGTAGACTGAGCCAACAAAAATTTCCCCAAATCGTTCTTGTCGAATCGTTTGGGAGTATCTGGAGTTGTTGTTGTTCCCCACCATTGTTCGCTCCCTGCTAGCAGCTGGAAACGCGAACTACCTGCCACCATCGTATGTTGAAGTGAAACCGGGAAAGGCTATGTTTGTATGGTTTAATCAATTTTAACCTCCAAAAATTATATAGCTTTATTTGTTATGTATGGGCACTTTCTTGTTGACGTATTTTGTTGTTTGACTGAGTAAAAACACTACAGTGGTATTAGAGCCAAATCTATTAAATCAACGAGTTCGGCATAATCCTTGGGTAAATCGATCGTTGGTAATAAATCGATTTTGATGAAAAGCTAAACCCGCTCTATTTAATTTATTGGTGAATAATATATCGATTTTGATAAAAAGCTAAACCCGCTCTTTTTAATTTTTTGGTGAATCTGTTGATTGCATATTAGTCACTTGGCGAATCAGTTGATTGTAGATATTGTCTTATCTTTAAAATCTTGATATTCTTTGTGTTTTTATTTGGAAATTGATTGATAATTGTTTTGTGGCTCTAGTTTGTTGTTGTTGCAAATCTCGTTCTTGATTGATACTTAAATGCTTGAATTATATTTTTTTAATGATTTCTTTTGTGAGTAAAAATTTTCTTTTAAATGACTGCTCTTGTGGGTACATTTTTTAATATACAGCCGTTTGATGGAAAAATAGATTTTATTATTTAGATACAAAGAATGAAACGTATTTTAATTACTCCAAAACTTTCTCGAGCAATAGATGGTACATACGATAATGCTACACATCCTAAAAAATGTGTTAAAATAGATGAATGTGCATGTGTGTGTATTATGTTGCATTTAACTTACAATGTACTTAGAAAATTAGGTAAGTGTTCTAATGCAAAACAATTGTGAGATATGTTAGATGGCTTGTACACAGAATTAACCTTGTCAAATAAGTTGTTTTTACTTGAAAAGTTTTTCTAATTCAAACTAGACACTAAGATAAGTGTTGATGAAAATATAAATGTCTTTACCAAATTAATTCAAGATATAAAGTTGAGTAGAGATCAATATATTGATGAATATTCTCCGGTTGTGCTTTTGAATGTCATAACCGATTTTTGTAGTGATGTTAAATTTGTAATTAAATATGATAGGAATAACATTACTTTAGATATAGTAAATAAATGACTTAAAAAATAAGAAAATTAGATTTAGTAGCTAATAAATCAATTGGAAACTCAAGTGTTAAATGTACAACTTACAAAAGGAATAATCAAAACAACAACAGTAGAGATAATCTAATCAAATAATAATAAAAAGAAAATTAAAGAAAAGAATTATAAGTCATTGCCTAAAAAAGATTATGGTTGCGGTGGAATAGACTATTATATTAAATATTGTAGTATAACTAATAAAGGTAAAGTAAATAATACAGATCAAATAATTGAATCTAATAATCACTCAAATATGACTTTGTGTAGTTAAATTTTAAGTGATATATATGTGAATGCTTGTTAAAAGGATAACTTTTTAAAAGTTGGCACATTAATTTCTTTTCTTAATAAAACTGTGCTGAAATTTATTTTATTTTTTGGTTGTTTTTCTTATGATACAAAATTTGAAACTTGTTTGTTGTTAAAACAATGTAAAAAAAATTTCAACAATGTAAAATGTGTTGGAATTCCTTTTTAGTAAGAAACCACTCATGTTTTGTAAAATAAATTTGTGCAGATTTTTTAAAAATAAAATCAGTGCTACGGAAATGTTTTTGTGCAAAACATTGGTGCGAAAATTCTATTTTGAAAACCGATTGTTTGTTGTGCATGTTGATTTTTGGTTCTTGTTTTTGTTTGTTGATTCTTTGTGAAAATGATAATACATGTTTTCTTGTGATTAATGACATGTATTTTTTGTTACTAAATGAAGTAAATTAATT